TTCCTCCATGTCTGCGTCTCCCAATTCGGCTGACTCTTCCTCTGCGTTTGTAGCCGTCCAAGACCAACTAGCAAGAAAATGCTGAGATGGTGTGCGCAATGTCGGAAGTAACGCTTCTTACCTTTGCCCAAGTAAGTACTTCCGAGCGCGGCGGCTGTAGTGGTAGACCAGAAAGAGAGACAGAGATCTACAGTCTCGTTTGCTGCGGATGCTGAGGTGTCTCAGGATGGGAGGCTCAGGTTTGGCGCGCTGCCAGTCAGTGTTCCACCAATTGTGGTCGCCTTTCAGCCTCCAATACTGGTGGGGAATGGGTTGGGTCGCTTCAGGGCCAGCCCCCTGAAGTGTACCAGCGTCCGCAGCGAACAGACTGTATATGTGCATAAGAGGGGAAAGACGACACGAGAATATGAAGCCTCAGAATTGCAACTAATTACTTGATAACGCTCCTTTTCTGCTCTCCGAGATGGACTACCCACTCTAAGACTGCATGTACGAGCGTTAGATGGATATTTTGGTTTTGTTCAGACTGCAATAGTATATAGTTACATGAATGTGCAATAGGGCCGCGCCACGACTGCACACTGCATGAGATTACGTTCGCGGTTCACCTGCGCGATAATGAATAAGTGGGAAAGCACTACTCATAGGCAAAAACTCACCAGAGTATCGTTCTTGATGGCGAGATTGATACGCACAATGTCTTGGTAAATTGGACGGCCGGAACCGATGTTCAGGTGACCAACCTGAAAAGGTTTCCTTGAGTAACGAAATGGTTTAGTTTGAGGCTAAAGGTACAGCACGCTGTGATGTTCGACTTGAGAGATAACACACCTCAGAATTACCCATAAGTCCTTCTGGGAGACCGACATGAAGGCCGTGCGCTTCGATCTGTGTCCAGTTTCCTGAAATCATAAAATATTTTATTATTATTATAGACATAAGTGCTGACACATCCTTATCTTAGGATAAAATCATCCCATATTTTAGGGTCGTTTCCTTTTCTTCTCATAATTCTGATCGGGGCAAAGGTAGCTGAGGGAAGGGGCCAGAGAACGCAGCAGTGCCTCGTCATATCCTTTTTTTGTCTGTATTCTTGTTCATGTCTCGTCAGGACGGGCAAGAGAAACGTAAACTGCCGCTTCGTCGCGCGCGGCAATGGGCGCGACGTTTCCTTAATTTGCACTACCCTTTCAAATGGAGCATCGGATTTCATGTAGACAATAATATGGTGAGACTTATGTCTATTTTTGGTCACAGTTGTCTGTTCTTAACCAGTACTACCCAAAATTGTAGTCTTTCGTGCGACGTCGGGCGCGGTCAGTCACGATTCTCTTGCCACATACCCTCTCGCCACACCCTCAGAATGTTTAGAATGAGTATATACGTCAATGTTCCTATTCGGTGAGAGGGCGCAGACAGTCAGACATGACGTGACGTAGTCACGCCGGCATTGCCCTTCCACAAACTACCTTCGCTTCCTGACTTCTCAGTATTTTAAATGTATTGCTGATAGAATCACTACCAGAGCATAGTGAATCCATGACAGGTGTCTTGGCATGCATAATCGCATTTCCATCGGACTCCTCTGAAAGGCCCCAGCCATCGATGACAATCAAACAGACACGATTCGCTACAGCTGTCATCTTCTCCCTGGAACTTCCCACATGAAGACTCGTAATTCGATGAAGACCCAAAGAACTACGACAACGAAGACTATTGGATGGAACGGATATCCAGCAGCCGTATTACAACTAAAGAGTTCACATACTAGAGTACAACGTCAGCGTTAATGCTCAATGTCTCAACCACTGCAATCAATCACCAGTTTCTTCTTCCTTCATGCACTTATTGAACTTTTTCGAAGTAAGCACACAGGTGTGGTTAAAGACACTCCCCGCGATCAAGTGGTCCTCAAAATGACTTCGTGCTTTTTGGAACCCTCTACGCCTTGACGAAGATGATACCACTTTCATCCCTCAATATGGCGCGATAAGGAAGTTATAGCGATTTCCACAAGGCTCGCTAGGCTCGCTGACACGGTAGGTGGACGAGGCGTCCGGTCCCGAGCTGCTTCCGTCCCTTTAAAGTATCCTATTTCGAAAGTCGGGACGCAATTGCGGCTGCCGCATCGATTTCTGGCAGCCACGTCCGGCACACTCGTCCAGGCCCCGCCCCACTGCTAAAGGGAGGTCTGTGTTCAGGGTGTTCGCGAGGTTTTTTTCGATTTTTTTTCCACTGGGGGTTACAAATGGGCCACTGCTTCGTGACTGAGCACCAATTACCCGAACACTTGATCGCGGGAATTGTCTTTAATTAGCTGATAAGGTTGGTTTGGTTAGGCTTACTAGTAAGGTCGGGCATTACTTATATCAGGCGCAGGTGTAGCACAGGTCCTTCACCTGATCAAGCCATGTTCATGCTTTGCGACTCGGGAGAATATGAGAGTCAGCTGGGGCATGTCTGGGGATTTTGATCGAGTCCGTACAACGCCCTCTCTCTTTTTGTGGGGATTGGTACGACCCCCACCCGGTTCTCATCAAGCTGTTCAAGAAGGGGCAACCCCCCACCCGGTTCTCATCAAGCTGTTCAAAAAGGGGGGGGGGGTATACATCAAAAGTGAAACGGGAAAAACCACGAAAACTCCGCAACCGGACAAATTTTTTCCTGCATTGCGAAGGCCAAAATACGAACACCCCATCCAGACAACGGCAAATGCGCGCGGGGCCCCCCTTTGTGGGTTCGTAAAGTAAGAATACATCAAGCGCACAAAAAATTTTCTAGTCCAAGTACGACCCCCTGTTCGAGTATCCCCAACGACGATGTGCCCAGGAGTCAGCGTTTCCGGCAATGCGCGCCAGAGATAGGGAGAGCATAGGTATAGATTTTTTTTCTGGTGGGGGTGACTTGAATTAGAGCGCGTTCGGACTTCGCGATCGCCCGACCCAGTTCGCGCATACTGGATCGCGCGATCGCGAAGTCTGAACGCGCTCTTGGAAGAATAAAAACGCACTCATATTTCGCGACCCGTTCGCGGTTGGATTCAAGCAATCGGATCGCGAAGTATGCACCCACTTTAAAGGCAGTTGGCACGATGGTTTCCTACTTAGCCTAAAATGCTAGTAGGGCGCTGTATAGTGGGGAAATGGCGAAAGAACGGAGTGAAACGGTCAAAATCCTGCGAAGAAAAAGCCTCCGTTCTAAGTCGATTTCGGACGAGTTTCCCGTACGCATCTTGCCAATCACCGCTACCGAAGGTACGGCTGCATATGTGTACCCATATATGCATGCAGCATCACCGCCGCTTCATACCAATCCCTTTGCTTCATAATTTGCTCAGCAAATGAATGAATACGAGCGTCAGAAACGGTAGGTTCTTTTTGTCTGGGTGTGGCGAGCAAAGGAAGGCGTTTGGGACGTACAAGTGTTGCTCAAACAGGGCACGTTTCATAGAGTGTACCCTCCCGAAAAGGCTTCACCCCCGCGTCACGGAGCGAGTCGAAGGTCACGGAAGTCCGAGGTCACGGAATTCTGTTAAGCCAGTTGTACAAATCCTACACCTGTATAGCGATTTATCGTGCCAACTGCCTTTAAAGGCACGTTCCGCGATAAACCTAAGGCTAGGTTCTCAATAATCCGTCCCGTGACGGTCAAACAGGCAACGTCAGGGCTCTGCTGCTTTCAAGCAAGTTGAAAACAGGCAAGCAAGAACGCACGGAGCGCGGGGTTACGGCGCTCATGTTTTAGGCCCATTGGCGCCCGATAGGCCCATGCCGGCCTCCGGTGATCGTGTCGTTGTGACATTGCCATTGTGCTCTCTCGCTCGTCGTTTTCTGGCCTCTCTCGTCTCTTATCAGTGTCTCGCGTCGGTGAGCTGCCGCCTTTTGCCATCCACAATCGATCTTGACCACCTTACGCTCGTCCGGTGATCATGATCAATTGAAATAAAGAGGGTCTTATTGCGGGCGCTTTTTCGTGGTTCCTTCCCTTCAATAAGTCAACAACCACAGGGCAATTCTATTTTTGAACTGTATTACCTATGAAGTGTGTCGCGGGAATTGCCCTTTAAAGAGAGAAGGCCATTCGCAGTTTGAATAATGCGGGACGAAGGAACAGATGAGAATCATCGGTCAATTCCGCTCGCTAGAGCGTTGATTCTGCTACTTTTCATAGTCGTTAGATCAGAGTGGATCAATTCATGTCCATCCCCTTCCCGCCTATTCTCCCAAACGCTGAATCCGATTCTTCTGTCCTCCCATACTCCCAGTCTAGTCGTTAAGCACGAAGGCGGCTTCGGAGCTAAGTGGCGAGTCATTTACCGCGTTACAATATACAGACGTCTATGACATGTTATCTACCCGTTAAATATTTCGTACCGGACCGCGCACCTGTGCTACACCATTACCTTCTCACTCACAGACGAAGCGCCTTACCCACATACCGTGATAAGTGATGCAGCCGCGAAGTGGTGTGCCTTATTCGAGAGAAAACGCCGAGAAACTGACTGGCCAGACACCAACTGGCTGTTTTATAGGCAAACATATCGACCGTAAACATCATACTATCAATGAGAGTTATCAAGGTCGTAAGTCTAGTTTGAAGATCGTGAGGACATGTGTCGGTCGACTACAGCAAATACACCACGGCACTATGAGCCTCGAAAGGGGCCACTTTCCAGCAGGGTTGAGCCCCGTTGTAGGTGCTTATCTACGCTTTCTCACCCAAGCAGTGTGAAGTGTTCTCACATTAACAGCATGATATTTTCCCTCTCCTTGCACCCTCGCACCTGAACAGCAAGACGTAGCCTCCTTGGTGGGTGGTCCGTCCCATGGCTCACAGCGTCAACTCCATTTCTGAACTTGCATGAGGACTTCTAGAACAGTAGAATGAATGATCCAACGTTTTGCAACGTTCTTTGGTTCCACACGCTATTTCCTAACTTTGATAGTTGATGGTTCGTGTGGGGTAAGAGGCGAACGGAGCATCTGCTTTGCCGTGTTTTTCTTTTCCAATATTTTGTTTTTTTGTTTCTATTTAGAAAATGTCGGAGCGCCTTGCTGTTTTCACGTTTTGCTGTCTCATCGATATCAACCGTTTCGTCAAATCGAATTCCAGATGTTTGTTACACCAAGACTTTTTCCAGACGCAATAAGCTTCTGAGGTCTGGCTTAAGCGCAAGGCCGTCGTGAGAAGCCCCACTTAACAACCTCGCTGGCGCAAAGAAAAGGCGTCAAATGTTTACAACAAGCCCGAAGTTTTATGGGGAGAAAACCTGGGAATCAAGAACCGTACGGCTTTTTTCTTAATTACCTTTTCGGTGTCGCTAAGGGTTCTTCACATATAACACATCCGCCCGATGTGGTTCTGGGACAACCAAACGATTTCGCTGGCACTGCAAAGCAGGAAGCAGTCTGTGGTTTCAAGGAGCAGTGCGACTTGGAGGGGGGGGGGGTATTTTGCACTTTTGCAGCTTCTCATTATCGTTTCAAGCCATCAAGTGGATATCTGTGAAATCTCGTGAAGCCGTGAAGTGATACCATCAAAGTTCGTAGAAACTACTCGTCAACTCTTACAATTCTCGTAAAGCAATGAACACGACAATGGGAAACAGCGCTAGTGCAAACTGCCCCCCCCCCCGCCGAAACTGCGCCGTTTCTCTCATGGCCCCTCATGAGTGGCTTTTCCAACAGTCCTCTTCACTTCAAAACAGGTTGCCATTCTCTAGTTCTAGGAGGGTTTCAGGCCGCTCGACTAACATACAGCAGACTACTCAAAAATTTCGGGATTTCTTTTGACTCTCGAGTAACTCAAAAATAGATTTCTTGTGTGAGCAATATAACCTCCAGAGCCTTATTATCGGTTGTAATCTAGCGCTAATTCTATGTCAGCCATATTGTCGCAACAGTGGTCCGGGCGAGAAATTCGTACTCCCCAACAAACTTGAACAGGTGGAAGTTTTCCACTGATGCAGGCTCTCGATTCAACAATGGACACTGTAGAGAATACGTAATGCAAACAGAAAAGGTTTGCGGCCGCTAAAAAAGAACCAGGTAGAACGAGAAGTCGATAACTTAAAGTAGATTTGTGCAGTACAACTTTGTTATCCTATTAGTGAATCTTAACATCAGATATAATGCTATTGTTGCCACAACCAACTATAACTATGTTATGCTGACGATGGTCCTCATCCCTTTTTGGCTACAATACCCCATCTGGGAAAAACACGCACATTGCCTCATTCATGCTTACTCTGACCGTGAGCACCTTCAATCAGAGCACGTTCGGCCGTTGAGGGGAAATTTTTGCGAAATACGAACCCTGCCTCCCTGAAGACTTCCTTCTCTATACTACTGCCACTTCCCCACCTGTATGCAACCTTGCCAAACTTTTCCAAAGTTTGTTTGCCAAAATATCTCCCAAAACTTGCTGTCGAGCGGAGAGGGGGAGGGCAGCAGAAGGGGGGGGGGGGGGGGGGAGTGGTGTGTGAGGAATATGGCGCTCTTCCGATCTAAAACCCCCTCCCTCGCTGGGATCCCCAACACACAACGTCCGCTGTGTTCAATATCCATCGTAGGTAAGCCACAGGAGGAAGATTTTTTTTGAAGCGAGCAAAACGGTATAAGAGTCCGAAACTAAAACTTCGGGG